GTTGAGGCATAAATAAAAATCAGATTGGTCTCTCTCAGCAGCACAGCCAAGGCATGGCATAATATGGAGTAACATCTGTGCACACAGTGGCAGCAAAAATCATCCATGACAACACATTTTGACCAAACATGTTTTTGGTTTATTACACTATGGGAAAAATAATGACAAATGAAAGAAAAAGARTAACTTGCCTCAGCAAAGGCACTTTTAACTGCAAACTCCACCCAGCAGCTGTAAATCTACCCAGCGCATCTCAGAATAAATCATCACGTCATTTCCACTCTGGCTCACAGGCATATCATCCTTCACCAAGTCCTTTAAATAGCAGTCTGGCTTTAAATGGAATTGTGCAAATTCACTGTAGGATCTATCACTTTGCTTCTCAGCTCTGCACACAAGACAGTYCCACCGCTCGGTCTTAACCATTTCCAAGGCTCAGGCCAGTACCCGCACATCAGCCCAGGGTATCCCACAGGATAGCTCTTGTCCTGGGATCAAGATAGCCCTAACACCACCACCAGGACAACCAGATGCAGTTCAGCTTTACTTTAAATCAAAATGCCCATTTATTAAAAAAAACAACCCGCGATGGAAAATGATATTTTGCTACATATCAGGAAGCCTTGGGGCTGAAGAATCCGGAGCTCATCCCCCATTTCCTTCTCCCTGGGATTCCTATACCAATCACCCAGCAGCAAAGAGGGCAGCCCCTGGCAGGAGGCAGCACGAGCTGAGCAGGCAGAAGCCAGTGGTTTGATGACCTGCACRTGTCACCCTCGTGTCCTTCCCGAGGGTCACATCCAGCCCCTCCAGGAGAGCATCCCTGCTCAGCAGCCCTCTGGCTTCTTAGCCTGGAATGCCACTAAAGGTTCAGTGTTACAGGGATAAAATGTTTTACTTCTTCAGTGAGTTGTGCAAGGTGAGAGAGGATACATTGGAAACACGGCTGCTCCTCCTTKGCTCCTGCACAATTCCTGCCTGCAGCATGAGAACCACAGAGTTCACAAGGAACGCCTCTACCCCGCTGCATGGAAGCACCTACAACCCAGCCAGGACAACTTCCCTGCACAAAGAGTGAAGCACGGTTATAAATAAATACCAGCATAGTTTCAGCAGCAAAGGCCAAGCTATTCTTGGCTTGCCAGGGAAACYGGAATTCTGCAGCTAAGCAGCTTCATCCATGACCCTACTTGATTTATTCCCAAGCTCATAACACACTTTGCCCAGAAGGACCTGACTCCCAAGCAKGTGCACATATGCTTCCTCCAGGAGCTAAAAATGAAATTATTAGTCCGTATTTACTGCATAGATGTGCTTGCAGAGAAGCAAGCTCCTGAAAGAAAAATATTCCAATATTCCAATAAAAGGAATCTCTCCCAAACTGTGCACACGCCAATTTTATAGGCAGCCTGACTTTCACTGTTTAAATTAATAACTGGCACTMATAGAGGAACAGATTATTTTCTGCTCTTTGCTGTTAGGTCCTTTAACACTGGGATGATCCAAGACTCCTTTTTCCTTTCTCATTCCACCTCTAACCTTTGGCATAGCTCATTCTGGATCTCTTTTATTCCCTGAGAGACATCCTCAGATCAAGCAACCTCAGGAAGGGAGGAAATATAGCCCTATCCATAGTAAACTTTCCTGTACCATASTGCGAACGAATTCTTCCCTGTGAGGATAAGGAGGTCCTGGCAGTTTGCCCAGAGAAGCTGTTRCTGCCCTATCCCTGGAAGTGCCCTTTGGAAGCTCTCTAACAGTTTAATGTCTTTCTTACGGTGTGGTGCCCCAAACTGCCCCCAGCACTCAAGATGAGGCCCCTCCAATGCAGAGCAGAACAGAAGAATCCCCTCCCTGGCCTGACCAGCCATGCTGGGCCTGGTGCACYCCAGGACATGGATGTCCCCCCTGGCTGCCAGGGCAGTGCTGGCTCATCTCCAACTTTCCATRCATCGGGATYCYCAGCTCCCTGTGCACGCTGCTGCTCTGCAGYCTCTCWTTCCCCAGCCTGTCCATATGTGCAAGGTTGCACCATCTCGGGTGCAGAATCCAGCACCCTTTTGAACTCCATACGGTTGGTGAATGCCCAGCCCTTCAATTTGTCCAGGTCTCTCTGCACAATTTCTCTTGACTTCTCTGCACAGCTTCTCTTCACTTCACTGGGAAATGGAAAGCCAAACAAATCTGGAACATTTTCTTGGTAGTCTGAAGTGCTTCAGGTCAGACATTGCAGTCCCTGGAACATACCATGGGCTGGGAACCAMCCTGCACCAGCTCCAGGGCATTCAACCCAGGGCCAGCAGCTAAGTGCAATGGGGAACAAGGTAGGTTGGGATGAGGCACCAATGGGGAATCAGAAGACACAGTGAATACAAGGCAGACATAAAGGAAACTGGCCCCCATAAATTTTTCCCGGGTGCCAGTGCCCACCTGAGCTCAGGCAGTGACTATAAAAGATCTAAACAAAACAGACAGTTCTGAGATGGAGGTCCATTTCTTTTTCTCATGTTCAAGAACATGAGTTTCAGTGCTTTGCTTAAATTAATTGTCAAAAGACAGGGCCAGCATTCTTCAGATAGTTGTGATCCTTCACTCACTACAGAAAACACATGCAAACATGGCTTCAGACCCACGTTCACTTGGGACATCGTTTTAAAGCTTGTATTAAAAATACCTTTTATACAAATGATAAATACTTTAAAATAAGCATTTACAAAAATAAACAGTCCATTCCCACAAGGAAGGACATTTATAGCTGAAATTCTGAATACATCTGGAGGCAAGACAATTATTGATGAAGCTGGTTAATAAAATCTTTGGTATGAGTATAGGACATTACATTTATGCATCGTTGGCTTCCTTTGGCCGGTGTACGGTACAGACAAGTGAAGAGACCGCTTTTTCCTCAATTTCTTGGTATGTCTTCCAAATACAACATACAAATATTTCTAACATGTCTTCCTATGATAATAGGAGAAAAGCCCAAGATTCTTCTGGCTCTTGCTATGACTTGGGTTTCTAAAACAGAATGAAAATGAGAGGAAAAAGTGAACACATTTAAGTTTCATTTTAGCTAGGAAGCAGCACCTGCAGAAAGTAAAAATCAATTGAAAGTAACTCTYGAGGAAAGCCCATTTCCYTCAATTTGCAGAAATCAACTGCCAAGAGAGGTGAACRATGAATATATTCAGACTCATTGCTGCAAGTTCAGAAAGTAGGAGGAGTCTGGTCAGTTAGGGAAGGGGGCAGCTTCACACCTGAGCACAGCACTGCACGGTGTGGAGCAGGTAGAGCCAACACCCAGAGCCAGCAGCACTGGGACAGCTGTAGCTGCTTGGACTCAGCAAATCCAGGCAGCATCCCCCAGCCCTGGCACTAGCCAAGCTTCCACCAGCTCCCAAGGGGTGTKGGAGCCAGAAGGTTCAGGTCTGTCTCATGACTGCTGGGAATCATGACCCATTGCTATAGCAACAGGAGCTCACGTGACTACTGTCTTTAAAAAGAACCCCTATTTGTGGCATCTTCTGTAGGCAAAATATCCATTATTTATACCTCAGCATGTCTGCTGTGCAATTTGTATCCTGAGYTCATTAATGAATGATGACACCTTGACCCACCCTGCTAAGGAGCCCTGTCAGATGAGGAGCTCATTCCATCCCTGCTGAGGGAAGGCAGCCAAGAGAAGCCCCTGAGCAACTTACCTGAGTTACAGCAATACCAGAACAGGGCCAGTCCTGCAGCCATGCTGAAACAGGCAAGGAAAAACACTGGGCCTAGAGAAAAGGGGAAAGGAAGCACATGAAGACAGAAGAGGGCAGCAGAAGTTTAGCTCAGTTCATAAATCACCGATTGCTATCAATATGCATAATTAAGCATAYTCAAATGAAGCTAACACATTCACAWTTCTACATGTTCTGAAGCTAATGTACTATGTAGTACATTTACTAGACTGCAATTAATTTTTACTACAGCTGCTTTGTCACCATTCCCTGTTCCCCTCTGCTCATCTAGCTATAGCCTATGGAATTTAAGGAAAAGTTTCCTTAGATGTTTCCTCATTCTAAAACTTTGTGCAACCCACCCTTTAAACACTAAACAAACATGGCCCAGGCTGTTGGGCCTGCCCCGCAGCCAGGTACTTCACTCCATTCACAGCCCCGGGCCCTGCTCAGGGGAAGAGGATGCAACCCTCAGAGGCACATTTTTTGTTGGGTTTTTTTTCCCCCACAGATTTTCCACAAACACCACTTTCTGGTAAGAGCAAATATTCTTGTCCATGTTTACAATTCTTCTGGGGGCTGAGATGAAGAGCCACATGTGCMCCTAAATCAAATCACCCCCGGAAACTGGCAATTTAATGGTGATGGTCATTACTGATGTTCAACAAAACCTAATTCACACTTACCCACTGACAAAACAGCATAAAGATTTATATCTGCTTCTTTAYTGCCCAATATTCTATTAGTATTAACTATTTCACAAGAAACAGAGATACAATTAAACTACACCTCTACTTGTAATTGCTACTTCACAAGAAAAAGAGATACAATGAAACTACACCTATCAATTTAAGGACAAATGTACTGCCACAACAAATTCCTCGACTGTGTGGACAAGGACACACATACTGGAGAAACGGCAAAGGAGCAAGGATTTGGTTGCTCCTTGGCATGCAACCTCCCAAGGAGGGTAGCTAGTGGCCAAACAATCTCTAGTCTGAGGCCAGATCAGAGGAAAAAAAAGTAGTAAGTAAAAATAAAATAAAATAAAATGTTACTTATATTTCTTATTTCCAAGCACTTTCTCTGTTCATCCTGTACTGTTAYGCTGCAGACAGCAACAGCAATGTGAAAAGTCTGAACAGCAATTTGGTTCAATATTCGGAGAAACACCATCACCACAGACAAACATATACATCAAGTTAAACTGTTTCGGCTCCTTATTTCAGTTTTCTTTCAGGAAATTGGGAAAAAAGGCATAATTCATATAAAGTGTTTTGAATCTCTCACAATTTTATGTAAATCTCTAAATAAAATATTAAACYGAAATTATACAACAGTTCATTATAAATTGTGAGAACTCTTCCTCTTTCTTTCAGATCTTCCTTTTCAAAATATCCATCTGTGAATAAAATATTTGTCTCTGTAATCCGGCATTGAACAGAGGAAGGTGAAAACAATTAATTATGTTTTCCTAAGGAAAATATATTTAAGCTTTTCCTTCCTTTGTGTCATTGCTTTCAAATGATTTGTAGTTAAATTGGGAGCCTAAAAAATTGAAAAAAATTGAAAGTAATTTCAAGTCAAAAAGTTTTTGATGGCCTTATGCAAAATGACAGTGGCAGCTGAATAGACCTTATTGTTCAAGCATTGAAGAAATCACAGGAAATGAAGAGTTTGGCTGTAATACTACAAGTWATACCACTGTAAATATTGATTATGTCTACAGTCTCTTCAATTTCCTGGCACTGGTTTCTTCAACAGTAGCACAGTACATTTGCCTCCACTACTTCTACTTAACTTGTGACAGTAAAGACATCATAAGCCAAAATAGTTGTTACATGAAGTGCAAATTACATGAGATAATAAATTGCATCATAATCGGCAAAGCCATTCCATCCGGTGACACTGTATGATTTATTTACCCCTGTCATTTAGCATATATTGCTTCTTGTCAGTGTCTATCTCTGTGGGATCTGGGGTTTCTAGAAATAAAAGCAACACATGAAAAGTTAGTACTCAGCTCAAGCAAACAAACAAACATAATCAGCACATGCAAAACAGTGCAAAACAACACATTTCAAAAAAGTATCCAATGCTGACATAAAGTATTAACCCCTCCAATGACAAATCATTGCTAGAGTTAAACCTGGACTGATCAAAAGACATGGGCTGAACAAAAGACATAGGCAGAGAGTCATCTGAATGCAACTATGAACAGCTGCAGCTCCACCTCTACTTAAGCACTGACAACATCAATAACTTACACTTGTTTCCCAAGTTAGGAAAAAAGGYGATAATCCTTTCACAATGCCAGCAATTTTCATTGTAGTAAATACAAATTACTTGTTAATAGATGCACTAATCTGAAAACACCTCTAGAATTTAATGTATCCCCATTCTTWGTTCTTGAGCAAATCTCAGGGCATTGATGTATTTTGGGAGGTAGAGCACATAGAAAAAGCTTCTTGGTGCAGATTATTTACTAAATGCAGGTCTCTGCTGAAGACATGCCCAGCTTCTTTAAAACTGTAGGCTCATGCTAATATTTGGTAATATTATGGTACATGCTAATATTTGGTACAAGTAATTTTGGCCTCTATCTTTCTGTAAATTCTAGTAGAAAAGGAGGCTGGCCTTAAGACAAGGTGTTCAGTAGTTTCCACTTTGGGCAGAAAGACCCTTTCAGAGTGGCCTTTGCCACAATATAATCTCCACATCTCCAGATGCGGAGATTACACTGTCTGCAGACGGGGCATGCACAGATGTCACCAGACATGGCAGAGGAATGACCTTCCATTACACATCAGTAATCTGCAAAACAACTGTTTTAACTGTTTTGTGGTCACAGAATCACAGAATCAAAAGGGTTGGAAGAGACCTCTAAGATCACCAAGTCCAACCATCAAAGGGTTAAGAGGGTTAAAAAGGGAAACGAAAAAAAGTAAGAGCTTGGAATCCAGCTATCAATAGGGAAGAATTTAAGTCTGATTGGTTTCAACTGCTCTCCTTCTACATGAGGATCTAGGAGAGGTGCCTCGAAAACTGCCCTGTCCACCCAGGACAGCGACCAATGAACATCCATCTCCCCTGCTAAGGACATCCCTCTCTGTGGGGGGAAAGGGCCATGGCACTGGGGCAGAACAGAAGCWTCTGGAGCACTTTGCTGAGAGTCACCGAAGCAGCAATGATTGCTGCAAAGTCTCCATGAGCAGTGTGMCCCTGGCAGCCTCACCCAGCCTGTCCCACTTTGAGGGGCTGATGTCCTCCCCAGGAAATCCTCACACTTGCACAGGAGAGCACAGRCAAATCTCTGCCACTTCTATCACTGTGTGGGGCTGATCTGAGCCTTTATCCTTCTAGTCTGTGCCAGCATGGAGAGAAATAAAAACATTTTCTGAGTCACTTGGAAACTCCCATTTGCTTCAACAGTGCCAAGGCTGCCCACACCGTGTGCCTTATCCCCCCTCTAGTGGGAATGTTCAGACATTACCAGACACTTCACATGCAATTTACACTTCAGGCAAAGAAATTTTGTTCCAGCACGAAATTTAAAGCTGTTTTAAAAATGAAAAATAAATGTTTGAAAGCATTTCCTCTGTAGCAAAAACCTGTCCTATGTACAGCTGCATGTAATCTATTGCAGAACTCCATCTTGGCCATGGTTCATCCCTGTCCTCATCAATAATTTCTCCAGGTGCTTGTAATACTGCTTGTTTCAGCTCAATCTGCATTTAGAACAAAATCCCCATGTTAGGGATTCTTCATCTTCACATTTACAATTCTAGTGGCAATTCTGTAAATGCTTTGTGCTAAATTTAATAACTACTACTAAGAGTATTATAGAACGATTGCATGGTTTAAGTTGGAAGGGACCTTCAAAACCAGTTCCAASCCCCTGCCATGGGTAGAGACACCTTCCMCTGACCAGGGTACTCAGGATCCCACAGACCTTGGCCTTGAAAACTCCGGGGAGCACTTCCAAGGAGTAACATTCAAGTAACAAACCATGTGTGTGTTGGAGGTCTGAAGGATAATGCCTATAATATTGAAAATGTCCAAGTTCAATGGGGAGTTACYCCTCATATTGAAAAAGGAGCTTTTCCTGCCTTTTTTCCCTGTGTTTGTGTTTTTAGCTTGAAAAGCTGCACACATTTCTTGACCATTCAATCCAGAAATGCAGACATTTGTTTTAACTACAGAACTCTAAGAAGCAGCAAGCATATTAATACAATCATCTCAGTATTTCTTTCTCAGGTCAAAGGAAAGAAACAGCAGAACCTCRGCACACAGTAATGTTTTAACTCAGTTCTTTAAATTATTCTCATCCTTCTGAGGATGGTAACTCCTAAAAGTGTGTACCAATATAACAGAGCATTTAATGACTTTTGATGGTTACTGAAGTCCCTTTGCTGCTGCAGCAGCAAAACAGTTTTCASGTGCCACAATGAGCTGTATGTTTGACATGAAGCACTGCTAGCACAGATATTTGCTATGCATAGTCTGAACATGAGAAACCCTAACCTTGCCTACTCATGGCTAGCTGAGGAAAGCTTGGAGTCATCACATAAATCATATGCAAGGAAGAGCATGTTTCTGCTCTAGCCAAAGTCTCCTTGTAAAGAYAGATTTTCAAAAGTGGCTTGTAGAAGGTGTTCCTGAACATTAMACAAGCTTCAACTCTTAAACATCAAAACAGTCTTGAAATTTTATTCTTAGTGACTACACTAATACTTCTCAAACAGCTCTTAATTCATAAAGGYTGTCTGCTAAATTCTAGTTGTTCTGGCAGAAAAATCTGTTTCTTTAGCTCTACCCAAGTAAAAAAATGGTAGGTCCAAGACAATTTGATTGAAGAGCCAGTTCCCCAAAGTACACGACTTCTGCAAGGTGAACATCAGATCAAAGAACTGCCTTCAAGATGCAGGAAGGCTCAATCAATGGGGATTGAGGCTCAACTGAGATTCTGAGGCAGGATGGGCCAGACTTCCCCAGTTTAAAACGGTTCAGGTACAGATGTGGTGTAATTCTGCAGCCTCCCAGTGCAAGCAGGAAAATGGTCTGCCACCAGTTCGGGCGGATACAAAATTACTTCTTTCAAAATCAAAGACAAAATGAAGGTAATTACAATTTTATATTACATTTTCACTCCATAAAAGAATGGTTTTGGAGTAATGGTTTGAATGTCACGAGTTTGCCTCACATTTGTAATTTTCTCTGGCACCTAACCGAGTTTCTTAATACTAGAAACCGACTAGTGAAGCATTARAGCTGGTAGATACTTTATAACGATTTCTTAAACTGCTGTATCCTTATGTAAATGTGGGAGCTTTCCCTCAAACTCCTTACTCATCTCAGTATGGGATGTTCCCATATACTTGGAACAGTGTTGTCTGCATTTCTTAGGTAAGGGAAAAAAAAAAAAAAAAAAAAAGAAGCAGCAAGCATTATCTATATTGACAAGTCAGGCTTAAAACCTTTTCTTCAAGAAATGAGCTCCTTTGCAGTACAGAATCAAATCTGTCTGAGCCTCAGTCCTTCTGAAGTACATACAAGTGTATTTGRGGGGCAGCTTTATGGACATCATTCATGTCTGTCAGCAGCACAAAGAAAGTSCTAAGTGATTTTAATATCACAGTCCATCAATGCAAGGGCCTATGAAAGTGTGCTTCACGTTAAACGAGACACAACAAGGAGATGTATGGACTGAAGAAAAGCCAGGGTTCTGGGTCAGCAGACTTTTGAGCTTAACAAATTAGAGGTTTGTAATGTTTCTCCTGTGCTACAAGTCAGAATAAACACAGAGGAAATAAATAAGCCATTACATAGCAATGGCTATGAAAGGGAACCTTCAATTCACAGGAGTTATACAGCTGTCAGACATRTTGCACTTAAAACAGTTTTTAAGCTGTATTTCATATTTCAAAACAATCAAAGAGTTTTGTCCCTACTATTCACAACAGCAACAAGKCAATTCCCCTTACAGCTTTTGAAAAACTCAAGTGAGAAGAAATAAGATATATGCCAACAATTATTTGCTACTTGTTTACTTATATTATTTAGAACCTGTTTAGGTTGTTTAAATAACCTAAACCACATCTGAAATGAAGTTTTGTAATACACTGGTGAGGAATTCCACAACTCAATCAATTTACAAATTAACTTACTTACTCAAGATTTTCCTGCTTGGCAGRTCATTAAATAGCTGCTCAGCATTGATCTGCAGAGCTCTGTAAAACTCCTGACAATGTCTGTCTCCTTTCTTTTGGAGGTGCTTTAACAGATCTGAGAGTCTGGTATGGAGTGATGCTCTTGGATTCCTGAACTGTAAGAGAAAAGCACAGAAGAGAGATTACCACAGCAGAGAGATTGAGAGATCAATTTTACATCACTATTCCAGGGAGCAAAGTTATGGTGCTTCTTTGATATTTACTAAAACAACGGGCCAAAAAATTAAGGGAAACCTAAAAAGGACATACATGCACTGCMCAACACTGAGCTCCTTCTGGTCAGCACTGGCTGATGGAGAAAATATTGTCTCTGATTTCCCTCATGCCTTCCTTCTGTCCTGATCAAGTGAAAGCCACCCTGCATTTGGTGTCTTCCCTGCATCCAAGCTAACACRGTACTTGCTCTTCTACAGTTTAATTCTGACAGCTGTAGACAGAAAATTTCAGCAAATCGTATCATTTGATATAAWGTTTGATGCTTTCCAGTTTGCCCTTAGCTGCCTAGTCATGATCCCCAAAAAGGCACTTTATACTGCTTATCCTAGTCCCAGTATTGGAGTGCTCATCATCCCAAGATTACATATTTCACTATATTTTATTGTTTCCAGCACATTTAACTGCTGTGTACCCACTKCAACAGGCAAAAATTCCCATTACTCAAGTTGGCAAGCAGCTGCAATAGAAACCACATGTTTTCTGCAGTGCTAAATGTGATGAATATTAGGAGACCTTACAAAGAAAAGCAAAATGAATCCCTAGCCTTACACATCAAACTAATTTCAGTTTATCTGGAAAAAATCCAAAGCCATTCTCAGCAAAGCATCATATTTCATAGCAGCACAGTGGATAACCTTTGGAGCACAAGTTAGGAACAATTCCTGCTTAAGGGSGTCAGGAACACCACAGGTCTTACACAACACTCCTTATTCTGACAAAATTCCCACAGGATTTACCAGATACAGAGGAGATTAAAAGCTTCCTAAAYATTCAATAGAGTTGACACAAACTTGCCTGGACCCATAAAAAAGCAGTTCWTTTCTGCCTAAGTGCAGAAGTCAGAAATCACGTTTCAGATTCTTTATGGATTTATTTTGAAGCTCTTGAGGGAAGTGGCAAGACTGGCTCAGCTGATGATCTGGCTCTGCTCTACACCACGCAACACTAACTGCCCCCATGGAGTTTGATTACAGCAGAAYTGGACCTGTTTTTCCTGATGTTAAAAAAAAACCTGATATGCTAAAACTCTATGCAAACATATAGCCAGCAGAGGGCAAGTAAAAACAACTGTAAGTAGGATTGGGGAAGCACTTAGCTGACTTTAATTTTGTCTCCACACAAACTTAGAAGCTCTTCCTCCGTAAAACAGCTACCCACTTTCATGTCATGGAGGGTGGCCTTCCTCCATACATGGTGGCACCACTGCAAGGTATTACTAACTCTATTCACTTCCCACAGCTCCACACTTACTGGTAAGACTAACACCACACAGTGTCTCTAACAATACTTAAAATTATTAACTGGTTACCAAAACTGATTCCTCTAATATAGATGATTTTGTGGACAGAGATGGATGCAGCACAGATMACCTGATGTGATCACACCACCCCATGTGAGGAGCAGCATGCTGGGCATGTGGTCACAGGATAGGTGCATTCCTGCCCACAGACTGGCTGTACAACTGCATGCTCGTGGTCATGGCAGGGACCGTGACATTAAGTTGCTGCTGAAGACAGTGTTCTCTCTCGTAACCACTTGGCACAGGGAATGTGCCAGCCCTGTGACTGCTCCTCTYACATGAGATACCAGATACAACTGGTCAGCAAGCAGGAGCTGAGGCAGACCAACTGCATGTGGCACCAAGAGTTGTGTCGGGAAAAAGGCAGCTTGGCTAGTGATGAGCAAAAGCAACGCAACAGTCAGAAATACAGCAAAACTCATCAAATTACCTTTTCTGCTTCTTCATTGGTAAGAATTTGGGGATAGACTCTGTTGAGTTGAAGAACGATTTTATCAACCACTTGCTCATTCAATCGGCTAGTGCTTGTAAGGAAATACATGTCRTGCTGCAGCCGATGACAATAGGACTGATCTAGAGATAAAATAACACACAGAACAAACCACAGCAGTTAACTAATAAACCATTTTTAAATTATGTAAAGTTCATTAATCTACCAGTGATTAAATAGCTAAAATAAAATTATCACCACCACTCAATATTAGAAAGCTGGACTATCTGTTAGGGAAACACAACACTACCATGTGCTTTCAAAGACCCATCCACTTGAAATTACACAAATCCAAACTTCTAGCTTGTCACTCCTACTGCCTCTCTCTTTCCAAATGGAGAAGGTTCTAAATCATTTAGAAGTCAAGCTCTGATGGATATTCAATCAAATACAGTCCTGAAGTTAATAAACCACTGAAGAGAAAATCTCTATCACTTATGAAGTCAGATTACGACATTTAAAACTAATGTGTTTTATAGCAGCACCTCTGCCAAAAAGTCATCAAGGTTTTTAAGCAAGGATATTTCACACAAAAGTCGAGAGAAAGGACATTTAAAAGGCAGAATATTTTTACCAGGGAAGTACACTCAAATACATATACAAGTAAGACACATATTTTTCTATGAACCCAAACAAATGAATGAACAAATACACAAATCCAGACKTGCTGTTGGTTAGTGTAATTTCCAATTTGTCAGCAATTGGTTTTTCAGGAACATAGATTTCCATACAGCTGCTTGTCTGTAATGCCTACATTAAGATACACGCACAGACCGGTTCCAAAATACTGTACTCTTATCAGATTTAGAAAGGGAACATCCATGACTGTGGCTGAAATGAGTGTTAAAATGTCAGTACAGTACTTTATAACTGAGCAGCATAGAAAACAAACCCAAAACACCCCCTAAACCCCCTGCACATCCCCTATTTAAAGCAAATGCATAGCTTTTATGGTATTCTGGTTACCAGAAAACACATAACCATCAGCTCTTTGGGCCCTGCAATTTAGAGATGATAGACAAAGGAATGAAAGAAAATAGCCAAAAAATTGCCACTATGCACTGGACCTGTGCGCACCTCTTGCCCTTTCTACAGTGTGACTGGGTTTGTTACTATACTGTCCCTTTCCTGCATTGGTTTAGCACTGACAGCATTTACAGGAAAGGGTTCAGAAAAACTTCCCAGTGTGACTATCACACATTAGTAATTTCTCCCACACCAGTGCCACTCCTATCCGAATAAGAACACTCTGCTACTGATGCAACTCAGAGAGTTGTGGGAACAAGAGGATTTCAGTTACATTTTCAACTTTTATACAAACACTGTTTCATTTCCATTTGTTTCTAAGGACTCACTTTCCCGCAGCTCACTGCCAGGGCTCTTAAAGTGTACTGTCACAAACACACTGCCCTGACATACATGCTGTTCAACTCTGTTTTGTTACAAGAAGACCCAGATTTTCCAATTCAGGGCTGAGATGAAATTTTTCTTCAAAGAAACTCATTGGCATGACAAAGGGCTGAGGCAARAAMCAGCATAGGCAAAGTTGTGTCTTTTCATGCAAATACTRTTTGGGGGATGAAACTTCCTCACCCTCCTTCATCTCAACTCTATGACTTGTAGTGATTCTCAGTGTCACCAACAACTCTGTGCCTTAGACAAAACATGTATTAAACCAGGGTTTTACAGCCAGCAGAGCAATTACATTCATATACCAGCGTGACAAACAATGGGCTAAAACCACATGGATCCAGCAGAATGAGTATACGAAGTGAAATAAAAGCAGGCTCAGAGTGTAATCTCCTATCTGCATTTTACTTTGCTGCTGTCATTCCCTGTCCCYCGCAGAGGCAGCGTGCAGAGGTCTGTGAGCAGTAGCTACACCAATGAAGGCAACTGTGACAGTCTCAAGATCACATTTAAACCAAGTGCTATTTCTGAGCACTGCCTGTGCTYGTGGCACTTTTCATTTACACACACTCTTTAAACCATCACCTTATATGACTGTTTATGATTCTTACTGAGGACTTTTTGCTGTCACCTGAAACTTGTGTCCTGGGGAGCCATATTATGATGCAGAGGCCTCTCCAAGATTTCAGGGGCAGCTACATTTTCTTACCATTTGGGCCAAAAGGCAGGAGCAGAGAATGAGACCATGCTCTTGGCCTCTCTGGCTACTGGTAAATTGTGCCTGTTGTAAGGAGAGRTCTAATGCCTGGTTTAGGCCCCCACAAGATGATTCTCCCTTCCAATGGGATGCTCTGATTTTAAGAAGCACCCATGAAGCAATCAGTTTCCTCCCCAACCCTTAAAGAGGTTTCACCTGTCTGCACCTGCACCTCTCCAAAGTACTTTCATTCAAAATTTAGGATGGGTTGCAAGGTTTAACATTTCCTGAAGAGCATTATCAAGTTCAACACAAGTTAAATAAAAGCAGAGGAGAAATATCTCACCCTTCTAGTACCTCATCTCCTTCTTCCAAAATCTTTTCCCTAATTCTGAGAAATCTCTGCCCAAGCCACAAAAGGAACTGCCTTCAGACCCAGAAAGTAAAACTTCCCCTGCTGACACTGCCCGCCAGTGCATAATTGTGTCCCAGCCACTAAATTTAAAGAAAGCAAACAAAACAAGCCCCACTAACGCCAGCAGTTGAAACAAGGCACCATGCAATGTCCCTGAGTCCAACCTGCCCCAGGAGTTCTGTCAGGGCACAGACTCGCTCCTGCACACTGCCAGCCATGGCCAGGTATGGGGGTAAAAATATGACTCTGCTATGAGGTTTTATAATCACTGTCCACAAGCAGCAGCTTTTTAACAGTGAACATACCCATCATGTACATTTTCGCGTAACAAGAATGCCAAGTGAGGTAACTTCATGGCTGCAGCAAGGCTACTGATGTGGCATCAGGTCTCAAGAATTTAGGGTGGGGTTGTCTGGGACATATTGCACAGCCAGCTTTTATCTTACTCCCTCAAAGTGACAACAGATGTTGCGAGGACAATTTAAAACCTTCATGCTAAGGAGACTGTTTTTAAGCAGGAGTCACCATAGCATCAAAGGGACAGTCGTTCTCTTAGCCAGTACTTGCCTCGAAAGTTCAGGGCAGCAAAACTGTGAAAGCAGGTCAATTTACCACAGTATAAAGAACAGGTGTAGCATTGCCAGGCATTTTAATGCCCTCAGAGCATTGAATCTAACTCCAAATTTGAAATTTCATATACTACAGTAGCTAAATTTCCTCCTCTGCCAGAACTGTGCTTAATCCTGTCCCACAGACTTTGGAGCCAAGAGCAGGTTAGTTCAAGTGTACAGATGCTGGCAAAGAGCTGGAGGGCTGGCAGTGAGATAAGCCCWACAGAAAAGCAAATACAGCTGAGACTGGATATCACAACACTGAACCTACCAGTAAACCAAATGTCCTAAAAGGTGCTTAAAARGAGTTGGTATTTTTTTACTCAGAAGAAATGTAAATTTGTCAATAGGCAGAAGGAAATTTGGGATCTGTCTGACAGCTGGGAAGAAAACACAACTAATAATTTCATGTTATTGATTTATGTTTACTAAAAGCCCATGACACACCACACACATGCATTTTTTTCCATTACCCAAAGTCCAAGCAGCCTCTGACACACAGCACAGGCACCCAAACTAGGATACGCCCTGCACCTGACTCCACACATGGAAGGAAAGGAAGCACAAGTAAAACTAAGAGACACCAGAGAAAAGCAAGACATTATTTTTTTGCCAGCAGCTCCTCAGAGGATAAAATAAATTATAAAACCATTATAAATTAATTTAATGATTTATAGAAAAGATTATAAAATATAATCACTGATTCACTGATGATAAATGCACAAACAGTAAATGACAGCAATAAAGCAACACACCCACCATTTTCCACCAGCAGGTCCAAATCACCCTCGCTGAAACCCTTCATAAAATGACATCTCTTGATCCTTCCTTCCAAATAGGCAATTAGGTTTCTGGCAATAGCTGCAGAATGCAGAATAGCCAATACACAAAATACTGGCATTGTAAGACTACTGAAATATATTCTGCTCTTGAAAATATCAAGACTCATAAAAAAACTTAYCATATGTGACCACAAGGTGCCAGACTGTCTGCTACAGCACTTGCAGGAAAAACATCACAGGGATATCCTTTCTAAAGTTCTTCCTGATTTAACAGCAGAGTGTTCACAGGGAGTTTGTCAGAGACAATTCCTAACCTAGGCAGAGATATGTCAGACCCTGGCAGCAGCCAGGATGTTGAACAAACCTTTGCACTCCCCCTCCATATGCCTCTGGTGAGGTATGTGGTCCCTGAAACCTGTCACTAGCAACCAGCACAACCCTTTCAGTTCTGTTGCCAAAAACTCTTCGTAATTTTGGTTCTGCTTAACTATTCTTAGCATAAAAGACCTCATGTTGCTTTCTGTACAAGGAACATCAAACAYGATTTTGTCTGTCACAGTCCCCTACACACAATTCTCCATGAGCTACTTCCACTGCCCRTCTGGATAAAGCCACAGGGCCCTAAGAAGCTGCATTGCCACTTCCTACTTATCACAGTAAATGAATAAATACAGCTGCATTTCAAACTTGTAGGCTGGGATCAGCCCTTCCTTGCCATACTACAACATGGAAGCACTTGCATCCACACCCAAGCCCTGGGAGCAAAAATGCTGCCAACCACTTTATGTCAGGCAGGTACACATTTCCAATTAATAACTCCACTAATATRTACATAAGGACGCTTGACACTGTCTCTGACACCACTATATCTGTATTATGATTTCATCGTTGGCTTTTTTTCCCCTTAAATGCCTCCTTATTAAGCAAACAGGATCATTACGCAGATAAATTTAAATACAGCAGACACAAAACCCAATGCACATTCTGACATCCTCTGTAACACACAGAACTTGCAAACATCTGTTCCAGAAAGCTCAATGGTGCCTGCAGAGAAATGGTCTGAGACAATCAGATAGCACTAGTTACCAAATGCACTGATGAAGACGAACTGATCTACTCCTCTGGGCTGGAAGGATGACAGAAAGGTGAAAAACAAGATGCTGCCCTCTCCTGCTACTCTCACCCACTGCCATGTGCTCCTGGAAAGTTRCCAGAAGTCAAGAGTCTCTGACAGCTAGTCAAGAGAATCACAGAATCAYTCAGGTTGGGAAAGAACCTTAAGACTATTGAATCCAACTATCAATCCAGCATCACCATGTTTAGCACTAAATCATGTCCTGGAGTGCCACAACCACATGTTTTTTGAACATTTCCAAAGTTGCTGATTCCCCCACTGCCCTGGGCAGCCTGCACCAGGCCTGGGCAACCTTTCAATAGACAAATTTTCTTTAAWATTCAACCTAAACTTCCCCTGGTGCAACCTGTCTCATCACACTTCAAGCTTGGTGCTTGGGAGAAGTGACTGACACCCACCTGGCTACACCATCCTGGCAGGGAATTGTACACTTCAGTAAATAATTTTTACTTAAAGTATCTTTTAAAAACAGGAGAGAAAAAGTAGCAAAATTGCAGTGAGCAAAATATTTAAAAGTATTTGATACTCGAGCGTGACATTAGGTTACACACAGTCCCAGTCCTCCAAGCTTCATATGATGGCTAAAGCAACAGGGCCCTCGAGTCACCAGGACAGCCTGTGTGCTCCAGAGGCACAATCCCAGTGAGCTGGGTRGAGGCTGGGGGTAAACAGCAGATTTCGCCGCCTCACAACACGCAACCAGTGTRCCAGGCTGTGCAATCTGGCACTGCCCGGCTACACCAGGCTGGGGCTCTGCACGCACCTGCCGCCCCGAGCCCAGCCCAGCGCTGCCCGCGCTGTCACAGCGGCCCGGCCCTCAGGGGACCCCGCGGCGCTGCCCAGGGCCGGCCGTGGCGCCGCGGGTGCTCATCCCGACTCACAGCCGGGCCGCGGCCGCGCAGCCGAACCCGCGGGGCGCGGAAGGCACCGCAACACCAGCCCTGCAGCCCCCTGGGGCCCCTTCACCAAGCCGCCGGAGGGTCCCCGGCCCCTGCCCGTCCCRCACTCACCAGCCATGGCAGCCCCGACCCCGCCCGGCCCGCAGGCTGCGGCCTTCGGACCGGGGCCTCGGGCCTTCCTGGCAGGGCGGAGCGGAGCGGGGCGGCCGCCGCTGGGCACCGCCTCCCGGGCCCGGGGGTGGCTGCGGAGCTGGGGCCGGGGGCGGAAGCGCCAGGCGCGGTCCGTCAGTGCGGTGCCAGCTGGAGCTCCCTGAGCCCGCGTTGCCGTTTCCATCGTCTTGGCGGCTTGGAGGTAAAACAGTTCTTAAAATGTCTGTTGTGCTCACCAGACCGTCCAGTGCAGAAGCATGAATTTACACTTGCACAGCCAGCAGTTTTTAAACTATGCATAATTAGTAAAGCTGCAATTTCCTTTTCCGGAAGTAATTGAAAGTAAACGAAAACACTATGTCTACATCTTCACAGTATCTGTACAATTTATATTCTCCTTGTGCTGCAGCACAGCACGCATTTAAGTGCAGCTGGACACATAAGGCACATCGGGCAGGTTGTGACTCAAGCCCAAGGAGCAAAGACAGCTTCTCTCATAGAAAAGCACTGAAGCATCTAATTAATTGTGATATTCAACTTCCTGAGCGAAGTAGTACAAGCAAATCTGTGGATGTAAAAAACTGCCATTTGCACTAAATTTCGTCAACATTTAATTACCTAGCAAGGTATGGAAGAGACTGTGCCTTACTAAGGATAAATGCTGCAGAGGATTGAAAGTGAACCTCAGTTTTGAAAACTGTGATAAAGAAAGGTATGCATTATTTATTATTGCAGGGGTTTTTTTTTGTTTGTTTGTTTTTTTCCTGGCAAAATCGGGTCTTTTTATAATGTATGAAAAGGTGGGGGTTTACTATGGAAAAGACATAGGGTTATTTCTAATTATGATTGTCTTGAAATGATGAAGAAAATTTTTAAGAGAGACAGAAGTCTTCCTGAGGGATTAAAATCACAGTAGGCAAAGCGGCCTTCAGACTGGCACATAACATTCTTACCTACTCAACTACCCTTGCACAGACATCTCTTACTTAAAGTTTTCTTAAGAGCAAGTTTGCAAGCAGCAAGACATATCTTTACCTGGGAAATAGCCATTAGTGCATTGAACTAGTCCATATGATCCTAAAAGGTTTTCCCTTTTTTGCCTCCATGCCATAGAATTATGGMATCATAGAATGGTTTTGGTAGGAAGGCACCTTAAAGCCCGTCTTGTTCTACCTCCTGCCATGGTCAGGGACACCTTCCACTCTCCCAGGGTCCTCCCAGCTTGCCCAGCCTGGCCTTGGACACTTCCAGGGAAAAGGCAGACACAGCTTCTCTGGACAACATGTGCCAGGGCCTCCCCATCCTCACAAGGAAGATTTTCTTTCATAAATCAAACCTAAATTTTGACTCAGTTTGAACCCAAGTATGTGGAAAAGCTGTGCTGATATACCAGGACTGGTTAGATAGATAATAAATCATACAGCTCCATGCTTTGAGTGGCGTGGTGCCTTGGGAGCATGGAGCACTAATGCTGGAAGTCAGTGTGTCCTGATGGACAGGCCAGGACTTCTGAAGTTTGACAGGTAGGCATGAGTTGCTGAAAGGATTTAGAGAGGAAYCACAGAATCTCCTGTGTTGGAATGGACCCACAAGGACCATCAAATCCAGCTCCTGACCCTGCACTGGACACAGTCATGGGTCTCTGGAGAGACAGCACCAGCTAGCCTGGCAGTTATGAAAAGAAAAGAAAAGAAAAGAAAAGAAAAGAAAAGAAAAGAAAAGAAAAGAAAAGAAAAGAAAAGAAAAGAAAAGAAAAGAAAAGAAAAGAAAACAGAGAATTTGCTGGCAGTTCGTGAGAGCTACCACTTCGAGATATCATGAGGGGAGTGTTATACCCAGCACTGCTCTGGAGATGGGGTGTGGGGCACACATGGGCATACCCAGACTAGTCCTGGGGCAGCATTTTGACAGGCAGAGTTACCCAGGCAGTTCTGATGCTTTCTTATGGACCATTTCTCTCTCTGATACAGTCACCTTTCAGAGTGTGGCCTTCTCTGCCAGGGTGCAGTTCCTAGTGAGACACAGCTCTCCTAAGAACATGGTGTCCCACCCTGTGCCACATCATGTTCCAAGGAGCTCATTGTGGAGATCTTCCCAGTGATCATGGCCACAAGTGCTGCATATCACACTATTTACTACACCTCCATTAACAAACAAGATACCTGCAGCCCCACATTTACTCTTTAACATTTTGATCTATACTTCTCTACACAACAAAGCAGCTTCATCTCTAGAAACTGTAAGAACATGGGGAAAACACCTCACTGAAATATTTTTAGTATTGTCAAATGCTGTGACATTCATTGTTCATATCCTTGAGAAGATCAATAGAGTATAAACATTCTGAGTCTATTCTATTCACCCTCTGGAATACAGATCTTCCTAACAGCATGAAAATAAAAATTTTACTTATTATTATTGCACATGGAGGCCTTGACCACGCCTGTATTGGTGTGATTTTGACAATGTATTTTAGTAAAGGAACAGGAACCTTGTGGAAAAGAACTTGCAATTTTGTAACACCTTTCATCATGTATTTTTAAGGCTATTTTGGATGGGGCTCAGCTACTTGGCTCAGTGGAAAATGTCTCTGCCCRTGGCAGGGGGTTGGTACAAGATGATCTTTAAGGTCCCTTCCAACCCAAACCAATGTTGTATTCAATGATTCATTCTCATATGTATATTAAAATATTACAGCAAGAGGGGTTGCCTAATAYTAAGAAGCAGTGGGAGAATGCTATGCTGAGGATTTGTTTTTATGATCCTTTATACCTCTGTGAATTCACTGCATTTTGTGCTCTGCTTAAAAGTTTCCCTGGAAACTTTCAGAAATTTTAAAAATTCTAAATTTAAAAACTTTTACGACTTTTGAACTACTGGAATCTAAATAACTAAACAGAAAACATGGTCATCTTAATGTGACATGGACTGAAATCTCCAATATAAATTTAGRTGTGTTTGAGCACGCAGTGATTCC